CAGGAGGAGTGCACAGCGTGTACAAGCCTGTACCGCCCCCGAAGCCGTACAGCAACTCAGCCCCAGCATCCCACGCGGGGCCCGGCGCTGGCCTCAGCACGGAGGAGCAGCAACAGCAGGCAGGAACATCGAGGGACCAGGTGGCGCCCGTTATTGGTGAGTGTAAGTGCAGTCATTTGAAATCGCTGCGTCGCCAGAAGGCTGCACGCGAAGAATGCTCGTACTTATTTTAAACTCTTCTATTATATGTATATATATATTTATACTGTGTAATATACTGTATGATATATATATATATATATATATATATATATATATATATATATATATATATATATATATGTATGTGTGTAGGTAGATATGAATATAGATATAAAACTCTATAATATAGATTTCTCCATGGACGTTTTTGCTCGCAGCGTGTTACGAACAGCAAGGATGTCATATTGATTGCCAAAAATAGAAAAACCTTAATGTAAATTCGATTTCCATATGAAAATAGTGTAGTGACAATAGCAAAAGTAACAGGTAATAGTAACAACAAGTCAAAACAATAGGTACTAGTAATTATATCAGGCACTAGCAATAAAATCAGCTAATAGCAACATCAGCACTTACAAGCAACATAGCCGTTTATTGCAAGCCTCGACTAATTGCTCCCAAATAAATGCCCCTTCGACTCTTGAGTGCATAACAGGTGTTTGCAATCCCCAGGGTCGGCGCTGCAGGCAGGTCCGCCCCCCCCTCTCTTGCCCCACATTCTCGTCACGGATCAGGGCCACTTCCACACGCACTCGACAAAGTTTCCTGTGAGTATTGTGATTGTGATTTTCCTCTCGTTGTTGTTGTTTTTGTTTGTTTGTTTGTCTCGTGTGTGTTTGTTTTAACCCCCCTTTTTGCAGCAGGTGGGGGAAAACCGGTACTAAAAAAAAAGGAGAGGGAGTGGGAATTTCTTTTAAAAAAAGAATGATAATGATTTAATGAATGGTGGTTGAGGATCTGTAATTCATATAATTTAGGAGTTTTTTTTTGGTGGTATTACATCTAAATTACGTAAATTCTCAGCGAAAGCGTATTACCCGAATAATCAATGACATAATCTCCATTGTAGAATTTACACATCCTCACCCACAGCCCTTTTTTTTGTCTGCACTTGTCACAAATAAACAAGGATTGCATTCCGTAACACAGTCAGCACCGACGCACAGACACACGCACGCACGCACGCACCTGTGACTCGAAGCTGTTTTAAATTTCTGTTTCTAAGTCAGCGATGTCTTGCTTAGCATATGACTTGCTGACTTAGGGCAGTTATTATCATTATTATTATCGTTATTTCTTTTTTTTTCTTTTTTTCCTTTTTTTTAAGTCGCTTTCCCTACTAAAAGAAACAGAAGAAAGTTCTTTATATCCCGCCTCCTTCGCCGAGAAAGGAAAATTTTAAAAAAGAAGAATTAAAAGATAAATACAACAAAATGTTACGCCCGCCTTCATTCATAATTTACACGACTTTTTTTTGCAATTTCCATAATATTCCCTAATTATTGGAGTCTTAGTTTCTTAAACCCAACCTCCTCGCGAACAAAAAATAAAAAATAAATAAATAAAAAAAAGTGGCTAAACTCCTCTCCCCAAAAAAAGTATATGGAAAATTGTTAAACTCATTTTCTCTAAATGAATAAATAAACGAAAAGATAGAAGATAAATTCCTTAGAAGAAAAAAAAATAGATATATAGATAAAAATGAATTAATAGGAATATGTTAAAAAAAAGAAAGAAAAAAATATCAATATGGCCGAGTTTAACATATTCCTATTAATTCATTTTTATCTATATATCTCTTTTTTTTCTTCTAAGGAATTTATCTTCTATCTTTTCGTTTATTTATTCATTTAGAGAAAATGAGTTTAACAATTTTCCATATACTTTTTTATTTATCGTTTTTTTGTTTATTATTTTTATTTATAGTTTTTTTGTTTATTATTTTATTTACTATTTTTTTATTTATCATTTTTATATATTTTATAAAAATTCGACTCTAGAAAGGACGAAATATCATGGAATTTGGGCGAGGGTGAGTATAACTTTTTTCTATTTATCTTTGTTTTTCTTTCTTTGCAAGCGACTCTGAAAAGAAAAGAAAAGAAAAGAAAGAAAAGAAACGAAGTGTAACATATATTTTTTTCTTTTTTTCTTTTCCTTTTTTTTATCAATATGGCCGAGTTTGAGTCGTTATAAAAAAAGGAAAAGAAAAAATATATATATATATGTTACACTTCGTTTCTTTTCTTTCTTTTCTTTTCTTTTCTTTTCTTTTCTTTTCAGAGTCGCTTACAAAGAAAGAAAAACAAAGATAAATAGAAAAAAGGTTATACTCACCCTCGCCCAAATTCCATGATATTTCGTCCTTTCTAGAGTCGATTTTTTATAAAATATATAAAAATGATAGATAAAAAAAATAGTAAATAAAAATAATAAACAAAAAAACTATAAATAAAAATAATTAACAAAAAAACGATAAATGAAAATAATAAACAAAAAAACGATAAATAAAAATTACAAAATAGAAAATAATAAATGAAAAAAATAAACGAAAAAACAATAAATAAAAAATAAGAAACAAAAAAATAGTAAATAAAAATAATAAACAAAAAAATAAAAAAAAGAAACAAGAAATTATAAATAAAGAATAACAAATAGAAAGTGCTAAATCAATAAAAAAAAATATATTTTTTGAACCCCCCCCCCCTCCCTATCGATGTCTCTCACGGCCCGCGAGTTTCCGCCATCTTGCCATTGTTGCGTTTCTGAAGAGGCCCTTCTTATGGTTTCCTCTGCTGCTCTCGCCTTCCGGGTCTCGGCCTGACTTTCTCTCTTTCGCTGTAGATCGTGGAGGTCTTTTTTAAATCTCTGTCTGTCTGTCTGTGTTTCTCTGTCTGTGGGTTTGTTTCTTTCTCTTTTTCTGTCTGTCTGTCTCTTTCTCTTGCTCTTTCTCTTTCTTTCTCTGTCTCTCTTTTTTCTCTCTCTCTCTTATTCACTCTCTCTCTCTCTCTCTCTCTCTCTCTCTCTCTCTCTCTCTCTCTCTCTCTCTCTCTCTCTCTCTCTCTCTCTCTCTCTCTCTCTCTCTGCCCTGAGCCACCCCGCATCCCATCCTACGCCCTCTCCCGGCCCACCCTGGGTATCCAACCCACCCTGGACAGTTAATTCACCCAGCGACCCACCCTCCACGCTACTCCAGCCCACCCTGCAACGTCCAACCCACTCTGCAACGTCCAACCCACTCTGCAACGTCTAACCCACCCACCCTGTTACCTCCACCCACCCTACGGCCCACCCCCGACCCACTACTCTACAGCCCACCTTAACTTGCTCCTCTGACGCACAGTTCCGAACCGCAACAGCTGACCTTTGACCCCGACCAGATTCCTGCAGCTTAATGCATGATCAGAGGCGAGAGACGAGAGGGAGGAGGGGGAGGAGGAGGAGGAGGAGGAGGAGGAGGAGGGTGAGGCGAGAGACGAGAAGGAGGAGTGGGGGAGGAGGAGGAGGAGGTAGAAGAAGAAGAAGAGAAAAAAAATAAAGGAAATGGAGAAGGAAGAAGAGGGGGAGGAAGTAGAAGATGAAGAAGAAAAGGATAAACATAGGAAATGCAGGAGAAGAAAAATAGAAATGGAGGAGGAGGAAGTAGAAGCAGGAGAAGAAGGAGGAGGAGGAATAAGAAAAAGAAGAAGTAGAAGGAAGAGGAGGAAAAGAGAGAGGGAGAAGGAAGAGGATGAAGAGGAAATAGAAGATGATAATCAGAGGGGGAATAGGAGGAAGGAGAAGAAGAAGATAAGCAAAGGAAATGGAAGAAAAGGAAGAGAGAGAACGAGAAATAGAGAAAGATTGAAAAGAAACGAAAAAAAGGAGAAAGAGGAGGAGAAATTAATAGGAAGATGGAAGATGAAAAACAAAGAGGAGGAGGAGGAAGAGGAAGAGGAGCGATATGGGTGCGAAAGGCGAGGAGGCGAACGGAGAGAGAGATTGCATGGGGTGTGTCGGTCGCCTGTGCATTGTTGCATGTGTGATGCAGGATGAAGAGATTGCATGAGACAATGAGAAGAAGATCGAGTTTAGAGGCGGAGTCAGGGAGGGGGGGGGGCAGGAAGACGAGAGGGAGAGGGGGGAGGGGAGAGGAGTCAAGAGGGAGAGGGGGGAGGGGAGGGAGGGGGTAGGGTCAGCAAGGATAGGGAGGATGGGGAGGGGGGAGGGAGATGGAGTAGGAGGGAGGAGGAAGGAAGGAGCGAGGAGGGAGTGGAGTAATGAAGGAAAGGAGAGGGGAGGGAGGAGGAGGAGGAAGGAGATGGGAGGGAGGAGGAGGAGGAGGACGGAAGAGGAGGGAGGGGAGGGAATGGAGGAAGGAAAGGAGAGGGGAGGGAGGGAGGAGGAGGAGGAGGAAGGAAGGAGAAAGGAGAAAGGAAGGGGAAAGGAGAAAGGAAGGAGAAGGGGAGGAGGAGGAGGAGGAGGGGAGGGAGTGGAGGAAGGAAAGGAGAGGGGAGGGAGGGAGGAGGAGGAGGAAGGGGAAAGGAGAAAGGAAGGAGAAGGGGAGGAGGAGGGGAGGGAGGGAGGGAGGGAGGGAGGAGGAGGAGGGGAGGGAGGGAAGGAGGGAGGGAGGAGGAAGAGGAGGGGAGGGAGGAAGGGCAAGAGGAGGAGGAGGGGAGGGAGGAGGAGGAGGGGAGGGAGGGAGGGAGGAGGAGGAGGAGGAGGGGAGGGAGGGAGGAAGGGCAAGAGGAGGGTGGATGGAGGGAGTATACTGCATGACCTAACGGGGCTGTGCATGGGTGTTTTTCTAATTATTTTTGGGTCAAGTCCTGCGGCGTCGTGATCTTTGATTATTCATTGTTTATTGTTTTTTTTTTATTTCTTTGTCTCGTATTTGTTTATTTATTCGGTTCATTTTATATATTTTTTTTATTTATTATCTGTTTTATTCATTCGTATATTTATTTATTTATCTGTTC